AGCACTGCTGGGGCACTGCTCAGGGATGAAGAAGGGCCTCTGACAGGGTTTAGACCAGGCAGGGAAAAGAGACTCCACTCTCCCAAACTCTCACTTTCCTACTTTCACCAAGGGAAGGAAAGAGCTCAGCTGTCTCCTGATAGCACCTTTGTGCCCTCCTCCCCTAAAAAACAATTTTTAAATAAATAAATAGATAAACTGGCTACAGGGCCCCAAGAGATTAGGAAACTGGGAGTAGAGGCATCCTGTAAATTTGCATACTTCATACACATTCTAGGAATCTTGTTTGTTCCCTCTGAATAACTGCAAAGACACCCTTCCTGCAACCTACAGAGCTCCCTGCCAGCCTCAGACCCAGAGAGAAATAAGCCCCTGCCCAGTGAAGCCTCCCTTCCCCAGGCCTCCCCTTACCTGGCCTCCCATCACTGTTGTAGCATCCCCTATGGCAAGGATCGCCTCCTGATGGCTGCGGCTAGATGAGAAACAAGCCTGGCATGGGTGAGGGGATAGGAGTGGGCCATGCCTCCCCACCACCCCCAGGCCCATCCCACCCTCTGTGCTAACCCCTGGGGTCACCCACACCAGGAATAAAGATGGAACCAGTGAGTGGGGCAGCCACAAGCTCTTGCCTACTCACCTGGGATCCTGGGCTGGCTCAGGCTGCAGCTCTGCATTGCCCCAGGGTGTGGGTGCTGCGGCTGGGGAGCGGGATTACTCTCTACTCAAGCGATGCCTCCCACCACCCGCTCCCCACCTGCTAGGAAGCCTCTCTCACACCCCATTCTCTCTCCCTGCAGACTTCTCAAATGCTTTCTCCCCCTCTCTGGCGACTCTTCTCCAACAAGGGTCTCCCTCCTCCTTCCCACTCTCTGTGCCCCAGTTCTCTCTGGTTCCCCCACTTGGGTCTCTTCCACCCTGCCCAGCTTGAGAGCCATTCCCCTGGTTGTGGCTGACCTTTCTTTCCTTCTGCGGTCCCTCTCCCCCGACCCACTCCCTGGCTGTCCCCCTGCCCTCCCTCAAACCTTCTTTCTTTCCTGCCTCTCTCCAACTTGCCCAGGCTCGTCCCCCTAAGTGTTCCCCCAGCCCCCTGGGGTCCCCTAGTCCACACCCGTCTCACCGAGAGACTGTAGCGGCAGGGACTCCCCTGCCGGCTCAATCCGGGGCAGCCAGACGCAAGCGACTAGCAGGCAGAACGCGGGCGCCAGGGCCCCCATAGGGGCACGCGTGGACTAGGAAGACTGAGCGAACGGCCGGGGTCCCGAGTGCCTCTCCCGCGAAGCCAGGGTAACACCTACTCGTAGGAAGCCGCCGTCCCTCTCGCTCTCTTGCTTCCCTTCGCCCCCGCTCCCAGGCTCTTGGCTCCGCCCTGAGCTAGAGTGACAGGACTGCCCAGCTCATTACCATAATTTAGGCGCCTGACCGTGGCCCCGCCTCTGCCCTTCTTGGCCTTAGGCTGCACCTCCCCAGGGGAGGCTGGATTCAGATCAATCAGCCCTAAGTCCCTTGGGGGAGCAAGGAGGCAGTCTGTGCAACTTCCAACATCCCTTGCTCCTCAGAGATCCCTGGCTCTGGAACCTGGGTTTCCAAAGCCCCTAACACCAGAGACCCAAGATGCTGGTATGAGTCTGGTCCTATGCACTCCTTTTACAAAGGTCCCGGGACATGCTACTCCGTGGTCAGTGGCAGACCAGGGCTCAGGCCTGTGGAGTCCTAGCCTGTGCTCCCACCACTCCCCACTACAGCCTCCTGAGTCCCCAAGTCCCCACCCTACCCCCAGTTTTGAACACCTCTAGAGAATGGATCATGCCTTAATCCTCTGTATGCCCAGCACTAGCTCAGGCCCCAGCTTGGGGAATGTTGACTGAGTGACAGAAGTGCCTCACACTCCCATATTATTGCTCCCATCAAGGCCATACTTTGACAAAACAACTTTAATTTTGTGAACAAGATACCCTGTCTGTCCAGGGGGAATTTTAAAATGGTAGAAATGTAGGCGTGAGAGCCTTGGGAAACTTTGTATCATTCACTTGGCCAAGTAAGTGCTAGAACACCAACTAGATGCCAGGCCTTATAGATGATGATGATGATGATAATGACAATAGTATTGGCCTTCATAGGCCCCTGGGCAGCGGTATACATTTGGGATACATTCATTCATTCATCCATTCAACCAATTTGTTGAGCATCTACTCCTCACCACACATTGTTCTGGGAATAAAGTGGTAAATAAAGCACACATAGCTATCCCTGTTGTGGTCCGTGCACAGGTTGGAAGAAGAATTTCCAGACACGAAGTATTTTAGAAAACAGTGAGTTTATGGAGAACAAAGAGCAGAGTTAGTGAGGGGCGCTGCAAATACAGCAGGCCAACTTCCTGATAGACCAGGGAGAGGCAACCCCCTTTGTGGGCTAGTAGCCAACTTTTATAGCCTGAAAACAAAGAAAATTCCTGCT